TGGGCAGCCTCCCCTTCCCTCTGCCCCCTCGCCGCCCACCTGAGGGCGAGGGGGCCCGCCGCGGGCGGCTGCCCCGTCCCCCGCCGGCAGCCCCCGGCCGGGGCTCGGCTCCGCCGTGGGTAACCCCCCTGCCCGTGTCTCCTCTCGCCCAGATGCTCGCGGCGGCGGCAGCTTTGGTGTGCGTGTGTGCGGCAGCCTGGTGCAGCCCGGCGGCGGCGGCGGCCGGGGGCAGACCGGACAGCGGCAATTTTCTGGACGATAAACAATGGCTCACGACCATCTCCCAGTACGACAAGGAGGTCGGGCAGTGGAACAAATTCCGAGACGTAAGTTCAGCTCTTCCATCCTGCCACAGCCGGCTGCGGCACCCGGYCCGCTCCCGCTAGTTCCGCTCGTGGAGGGCATCCCTTGGGGAGCGGGGGCTGGGGTGCAGCCTCAACTTGCCCCCTTCTCCCCGGATTTTAATGCTTATGCTAATTCCCTGCGGCGCCTCGGCGAGTAGGATGGAGGTCCCGCCGGTTGGTTGCCGGTGCGCTGCCGCCGCGGCGCGGCCAGGAGCGCCCTGCGAGCCCCGGGCCGTGTGGGGCGCCCACCCGCACCTTCGGGGCCCAGCGGGCCGGGCCGCGGGAGCCGCTTCCCGCCCTGTGGATCGCCAGGCGGTGGAGGGGGGGAACCCGCGTTTGTCCWCTCTCCTCCCGTTTCCCGCCCCGCTGCGGGAGCGTTGGAGGCTGCGGGAAGAGATGCGGTGGGGGCCCGGGCCGGGACAGGGGCTCGCCCCGCCGCCGCKCCGCCAGTGCCGCTCAAGGCAGAGCCCCCTCCCTCCGTCCCCGGGCACCTGGCAGCGGGACCGCCGCGTCTCGGCGTGCGCTGTCACAAATGCCGGCAGGACGGGCGGGGGGAGCGGGGGCAGCGCTCCCGGCGGAGGGGTGGGTGTCGGGGGTGCGGGGATCAGCGCGGCGAGTGCGCGGGGTCCGGAGCGCCGTGCTTGGAGCCCGGGCGCAGCAGCTTCAGCCTGACCCGAATCTCATCAGTTACGAAACCTGCCGCTGTAAGGTGCCTCTGTCCTCAGCGTGCTTCGCCTGTGCGCCCAGTTCGGGCTGTCTTTGCTGCAAGTTGCGTGAAACACGACCAGTWTTCAAAAGTCCTTCTTCACATTTCTTTCAGTGGAAAACATTTTCTTTGATCAGCCAGTATCCTGCGTCTCTTGGTGTCACTTTTAAAATCCTGAATTCCAACCATGCAAAATAATTTTGTTTTCCTTACTGTTTCGCCTACTGGCTTTCTTTGATTTTGGGATAAAGCATTGATTTGGTTTGCAACTTCAGAGGCAACAGGTTTCTTCTTGTTCTGCAGCTTGCTGGTGACTGCTGTTTGCTGTAGCAAACTGAAGTAAACGTCTCCAAGATGTCTCTTACTTTTCTGAGATCTGGAGTGACTTGTGATGTATTTTCTAGCTTTATGTCTGTGTTGCATGTAAGATGCAACCTTGGCTATTTATATTAAGCAACTAGGAAAGAACTACTGTTAGAGTTGTGGGAAAGTTTATTTTTGCAATAGATGGTATTAAGCAGCATAATTCTAGTGTTTGAGAACACTTTCATTCAGTGGTCATATATTTTTGTTTGCCTTGAGTAATAGCCTGAAAACAAAAAGAGCTTAGTTAGGTTCATGGGATAAACAGCAGTTCAGTGTGCTGTGCTCTTGGACCTGTGATTTTGGAAAAAAAAAAAAAAGGCAACATCTGCTGCTATAGGAATTTTCTAGGATTAATGGTTGCTGCTAGAAAACTCCAAAATAAGTACATCAGTTATGTTTTATAATTGGGCAAAGTCATTTATGTGAGAACTACCCTGCAAGGCTGAGGAAGCTAAGTGCTCTCTAATGCCTGTCTCCTGGGTGCCCACTGACATGTACTGTAATATTGGATATTAGCCAGATAATTTATTCTGTGACAAGTAGGTGTCCCCAAGGGTTTTAAGAGCGACTGCTTTGAGGAAGTACTGCATACAGATTCTTCTGGGGCAATTTACAAATATGCTGGCTTATTTTTACACTGTGTAAGTTTTAAAAGGCTGGTACTTCAGTGAAGAGTATGCTTTTATTTCTTGTGCAGGATGCTTATGTCCTATTGATTGGTACTCAAACTGGAATATTTATAAATGGTCCTAATACTTCACAAGGCTCTCCCTTTAAAGCATGGGTAGTTTTCAGTGATTCGTAGCATGTAACTSTAAAATCCCCCAAAATTATGCATTAATCTACCTGTACAAGAGTACATTAGAAAAGTATCTTGTAAGAGCACTTATCAGTTAATCATTCTTAAAACTTCTCCGCCATGTGATATTTATTGATGTCCTACATTTTAAAATAATTAGTAAAATTACTTGTGTAACAGTAATTTTTTTGGTTTTGTAATTGTGATTAGTAATGTAATTAGGGATTCAAATGTGGTCCCCTGTTAAGGAACCGGACAGCAGCAATTGAAACATTTGTAAGGGTAACTGTCTTGAAGAGTTAAAATCAAGGTATGCAAGGCCTGTGTTTGTAATTTAATTCTGTGGTCAGAGTGGGATATTTTTGCGGGCTTTAAGTACCCTGCAGATATAAGGGTGAGATGGAATTCTAGTGTGAAAAGAAGTATTTAAAGGCTTAASTTAAGACTTAACTGACAGGACTGATTAATGTGAAAGATAATGACCCTGACTTCTGGCTCATTGGCTCAGTTTCCTAAGAGTTTTAGACCACACTGAGTAAAAACACATTCAGTAAGGGACCCTTACAGAACCTGATAAACCAGGATCTGACATTTTATTTATAAAATACCAAAAATCAAGTCAAACACCAGCCCCGAAACCTAGCTCTCTTAACAGCCTCTAAAATGTCAGTTTTGTCAGTAAGCGTTATTTATGTGAGATTATTAGCTAAGATCTTTTTGGGATTTTAAACAGGCGGAACTGTAACTGGCTCTTCAATTATTTTGAAAGGTCTTGATCATTTTGACAAATCTCTTGAAAATAGTGAAATAGGTCTAGGCAAGAACTGTGCCTTAATGTGTAACTAGTGGGAAACCAGATATGTTAGAGGCTATCTATCTTCCCACATATTTTCCTTTTGCAAAAATTGAGAATGGTCTTCTTTTTAAATAGGAGACTTTCCATCTTACAAATSGGGGAGATGGGATATTTCAAATATCAACTTCCTTTAAGTAGTATGTACAAGTCAAACATTTTGGGTTGAATACAAGGGGACATTTACTTTTTGCCTGAAGCATCTGCAGGGACAAGAGTTTTTAACCCGTCTTAGTGCTGCTGCAGTTGCTGAATAGCTGCAACTGTTCACATCTGTCACTAAAATAAGTCTCTGGGTTGATGTGTTTATTAAGGTTTTCCAAGCTGCCTGGTTAGGCTGCTTCAGCAGCCAGTGGTGTCAGGATGCTGGGAGCGTCTAGCCCGTGGGAATGTGTCCTCTGTTCATTTCAGGCTTGGGAATTGAATGTTTTCAGTAGATGCTGTTAGGRGTATCTTCTTCATTCATATTTTGTTATATTGGTAGTGCTGTCTGGTAATGGTTTTATCTACGATGATTGCACTAGACATTTGAGATATATATACGCTGCAGTTTGATTGAAATGAAGATTATTCTTTTTGAAAACTGTGATTGAGAAATGGCATTACATTTATACTCTCCTACTTTGAGCATCCTAAATCTTATCTAGAAAACCTTCATTACTCACAATGTTTTTAATCTGCAAAGAAAAACGTAATATAGGAATTCTTTTTCTGATTACTTTCCAAACAGTTGTRATGTTTTAATCCTAAAGCAAAAGCACAATGGCTTTGTCATTTATAATCACTTTGTCTTTTTATATCTTCTTCACAGTCAGTTGGACAAAATTGCATACAAACATAATAGTCTGTTGTATCACTATCTGACAGTGTTTCAGCGTTTCTTTTCAGAAATTTTAATTTTTATTTCTTTAAAATTCAATGARGTTTAATGAGATATTTCTACAGAATAAACCATTGTAGTAACTGATACTTGTAAACAGTGACTTGTGCATTGGTGTTCATTAAGTGAACTGTATTTTATATGGTAAATTTTATTTGCTGCTTGAAAAGAGATTTTTGGGTTCTAACTTGCTTGTTAGTGATTTTGACTTTTTCTTTTCAGAGGTCACAATTCTAGTGATTCCTATATTTTCAAATTTAAGGTGATAAATGGACTCCACAACTCAACTGTGACATAGTATTGCTATGAAATAATAGGATTGTGTGATCATTGTAACCAGCTGGATCAAACCACAGTCTTAACTATCATCCCACCATGTTAATACAGTTATCTAAGGTAAAGAAGGTAGAAGAAAATTGAGCAGGCCATAAAACCAGTCAACTCTGAAGAGGAAATTTGCACTGGCAGTATCTTTTTGCTCTGCTTTGCTTTGGAGTGTTCTCACATTGGCCATCAACTGTATGGCCTTTCACATGTCAAGATGTGACAAGTTTGGGCACCTCAGTGTTGGCTTCCCRGAGGATCCTTTTAGAAGTTTTTGAAGAGTGTTTTTTTCAGCATTAGTGAGAACCAAACCTCTGTGTTTGGAAGGGAGGTAAATCAAATACCAGGTCTCCACATCAATTCAGTAATAGCCAGCATTCATTATTCGCTTGTCTRTTTTGGAGGTTTAAGGCTACTCAGAAACAAACACTGCTCCTCAATGAAGCTTCACACCAACTGTGCATTACTGCTTGAGCAGAACATCTCTGTCCAGCTGTGCATCACAACTACGTCTTTGTACAACTGAGCAAGCCAAAGGCTGTTTAAAGAAGGATTCATTAGAAGTTCTTTGCACTTCATTGTGGGATTATCATGTAAATATTTGGAAGGTTTTCATGCTTCCAGAGTGGAGTACCAGTAACATTATTTGAAGAGGAGGATGACTTTTGTTCAACAAAGCTTTTGCATTRGACAAGAAGCCCTCCTAGTTTATGRAGGATACTAAATGTGCTTTGGAGGTAGTCAATATTTAGGATTGGATAGTGCTGCACTCATTGTCTTTCCTCTAACTCATGTTAACTCATTAGTTGTGAAAAAAGGTTTGATAGGCTTATTTCTCCTGTACYTTTTATGGTTCAGGGTAAAAAACTTTGTTAGCGGGTATGGCAGCTGTTTTATGACATACGTGCATATGTCATGATCATGACATAAGGAAAAAATGGAATTGCAAAACATGAAAGATTAACTGCTTCTTTGTTGCTTAAGGCCTAAGTTAAATCAAGAGCATGTAATAAAGTGAAGTTATTTTTGCAGGTGGGCATTGAATCTTTTGCAA